CTTTGTTCTCTATATTTTCTAAAGGTACTGTAAAACCCTGCAAAAAAAAAATTTTATTGTTAGAATTGCAGTAATGCATTATTGTATAGAGAACAAAAAAACAAAAATTTTATATATATATAGCAAATATATATATATATATATATATATATATATATATATATATATATATAATGTGTTGTAGGCAAATTATTATAGGCAAATGTTATCTGCTTGGTCAAATGGCTTTCGCCCGTTTATTTGTGTTCAAATGCTATTTTCCTAGGCAAATAGCATTTGTTTGAACGCTTTTTAGGAAAATAGAAATAAATTGTAGGTAATTATTCAGAATAGGGCCTTTCCCGAATTTTGATATTTTTTGCGGCTTTCTTGGTAAAAATCTTCGTAAAAATTTTTCCCAACAACTGGACACATAAGTACGCCTTGCAAAGTACATGCGTGAACTTTCCACGCGTGGAAAGTTGTAAACCCATGTGACATCTCATCTCGCGTGGAAGCAGAAATATGATATAGTGGGAAGGTTCGAATACTTCGAGCTATTTTATTCTAAAAGTGTACATATTTTTTATTTCATGGAGAAACGATGGATTCTAAAATTAAATATATAAAGATTATAGTGTAATTTTCAAGAGGAAACAGCGGACAAATTCTACCAATATTTATAGTAGTTTTCATGAGTTTATTTCAAAACAGTATCTATAAAAATAAATTTTTACAACAAATTTTACGGAAAGCTGTTTTAGAAACTGTAACTAGAAAAAGTATCACAGGAGATCTATTTCTAAACGAAAGAAACATTACGGTTGCAAAAGAAATATCAAGAACTGACTAATGATGTTATTAATGTAGTTTTTCTACTTTTTCTAGTATTTCGCTGAACAATTATTTCAAACAAAGAAATGACACCCATCGCCCAAAAAATTCAAATTATGAAAGAAGAAAGAAAGATAAAACGTTTCGAAAATAACAACACTATAAATAAGGTTTTAGGTTTTTTATTAAACCTAATTATTATTAGGTTATTTTAAACCTAATTTATCAAATAATTTTTACAAAGTAAATTTGTAAGTAAAAAAATATAAAAAGTAAACATATAAAAAGTAAATTAATTTGTCCTAATTATTAAACAAAAACTATTTCAATTATTCACGACGGCATAATGTATAGACGGACACGTGCGGATATATTTCCTTCCATTGATTAACCAATTGATTAACCAATTGATTTATATTACAGAATATGAAATAAAACTCCTGCAGTTTAAAACATTGTTTCAAAATAACGGAACAATTATCAGGTTTATCAAGTTTTGCGTCAAAAAGATATAACTTTTTTAAGTTTTTGCACTGCGCTAGTAATTCCAACCGGTGATCAGTGAGGACAGCATCGCACAAATAAACTTCTTGCAAGTTTTGATAAGAGGAAAGTAATTTAAATAATCTATCATCAGTAACTGAATTGCATCTGTAACAAAAATGATGTAATTAGTACAGTACTTTAATTGCAAAGAGAAAATTCTTGTAACTTTTATCAAAATGCTCGCAAAAGAAGCAAACAAATTTCAATAAAGAATACAATGATGTGTGTTTTAAAAGAAAATGTAGCACACACACACTTACAGATAAAGGGCCACTTTTTGTAAATTTTTACAGTTAGCGAGAGCCTTAATACCCCGAGATGTAAGATTACGTGCGTAGAGTGAATATATTACTTCCAAGTCACAACACGAATTTCCCAACTCTATTAGAACTGCATCGTTTATTAAGTCGCTATCTGCCGATAACTGACGCATCCGTCGATTATTTTGCAATATCTTGCAAAAACGTTCGGTTCTTATACTAGTATAGCCAGTACGAAAAAGGTTTAAATGTTCCAAATTATTTAGTCCCTCGAGATACGAAAATCCTTCATCGTCTATGTTGAGCCAATTTTTGAGATCCAATTCTAAGAAAAATTTGTATTACAAATTGTTATACAATCTACCAATAATCTTGACAATATATACATATACTATATGCATATACCTTTCAAATTTTTGCATGTCTCTGAAGTTTTAAGTAGGATAAGATTTACGTCGATGCAGCGGCAGCCACTGAACGGCAAGTCATTTAATCTTAAATGCGTTAAACGCCTGCCGCAATTATCAAGAAAATTTACGAAATCATTGACATCAAACCAGCTTCCTGTAAGATCTAATTGTTGCAAATATTTACATCTAGGTGTAAAATAACGAAATATATCGCACATATAATTATCAATATAGTCGTTAAAGTGAATATATCGCACGTTCAAACGTGTATAGAGTAGAGGATCCCGTGATAAAGTATCAAAGCGCTTATTATATACTTCATTCATGCGGCATAATGTTACCACATCTAAGTATTTAAATATTTCTAGTAGCATTTCATTCTGTAAAGATAAAATATAATTAATATAATACAAAATAAATATACTTTAATACTCAAAGTACGAAATGTCATTGTAATAAACATTGTGATGAGAAATAGACTTCTTAGAATACTTTACAGGAAGCGCAGATAAACTGCAACGTGATAGCTTCTTGGATTCATCCAATGAGAATTTCACTCCCTTGGCACAATTCGAATTACTTTTCAATAAAATATGACGCGAATTCTTCTCTCCGTTAGGTTGCACATAAGGTATTATCTCTTGAGATGCCTTGTTGTGCTTCAAATTATTCTTATAAGAAACCCTTCTTATGTCGCTGCAAATATTATCGGAACAAATTAATTTTTAAATTAATTCTTATTATTAACAGAAAAAATGGATTCAAATATTATTTGATGTCGATGATAATAATACCTTTTACAAATAACACAGTATTTGGAAAAATTCTGTTGCAGATGAACTACATCCAAGTGTGCATTTTTTGAATCTGCTGTTAAATTATGAACATCGTCGTGGTGTAAAGAGTACATGCTGTTAATTCTTTTCAACAGATTACTTAAACTCTCGTTAGGATTTCTAGGAAGGATCAAATCTGATGTGCCAATGAGCATCACAGCATCTAGTTTTGTATCAGATGTCTCTGTGCTGTCACTAAACACTAGTCTGAGCATTTTAGTTTTAAAGTTACACGGATGCGACAACGGTGGAGAAAATAATCTTGATTTCGGGGGTACAATCAGAAACTTTTCATCCCACAACTGAATCCAGTGATTATTGGAATCTTGAGCCAAAATTTGAATTACGCTTCCAGGATTACACATTTCGTAAATACAGACTCTGATTGGATATACAGCTTCATGAAACTCGATATCTTTAAATAGAAAATATTATTATATTTACTCTCTTCTCAGCAAAAGCGTATCTTCCTTAACAATATCTTATTTATCGATTTAAATATTACATACCAATATATCTTTTTGTCGCATCAAACTCGTACATGTAATATGATATGGCTCTATTAGTGGATCTCATGAAATTTTTGTTTTGCCATGGAGATATTGAAATACCAGTTTCTAGCATCTATATTAGAAAATCAAAATTGTCAAATAGTAGAAAATCTTGTAACATATAATACATATATAACGATTACTTTGTACAAAAGTATAACAGAGATAGGTAGTACCAGAAAATACACGTACCTCAAAATAACAAAAAGGAATTGGTAAATGAAATAGTTGTCCGTAATTTTGAAATTTGGGTGGCCCAATTATGTCAGGGGCAGTATGGAATATGCTAAGACTCTTGTGGTCTACGGCAACAAATCTTTTCTTCGCAAATTGATAGATGAAGTCAACACTATCCTCTTCTCCTACGGATACTCTGCCGACATAGGGATATCGACTACAACTTTCGCAATATAAAGATTTATTGTGAGTTGTCATTGTCTCTCTAAAAAAAAACAAAAAATATGAAGAATAATAATCTTTTCATTTTTAGCATATACTAAAATGCATTATATCATATATATTTATAATTATAGCGTTAAGATTATATGTATAATCTAACAATAAGTTTATCTTGCTTCCATTTGCATTGCTAAGTACTGACAGTCTGCATGTGTGTGTTGAATATCATTATTAAATAATTAATTATTTTAAAGAAATTAACAGTTATTTTTTAATTTTGTCAATGTAGAAAAATGTTCTTTTATAAATCTGAAATATCGGGAGCTCTGTGTTCTTCCACTATCACGTGGCACATACGTGCACGACTACAAAAGAAAAAACAAAAAATTACACAATTTTTGAATTGCTCACATTCGCCAGACTTACGCTTAGTTTCTAAATGACTATAAAGTTCCATTCTACATTAGTCGTAAGAGTAGATGTAAAACGCGTAAGCAGTAAAGCTATTGACTAATAAGATTTTTTACAATCCAAGAATAATCGATTGTAGTTGGTCAACTTTTACTGCTTACGTCTTATCGCATACTCTTACAGTTATTGTACAATGGATTTAAGATTTTCCGAAATGTATTTTTTATCTTACTCAATGTATCTTTTATCTCATTTTCCGATACACGTTATAGTCGGAAGCTGCGACGACACTTTTGGCCAAGTGATTTTGTAAAATACGATTTTCCGTTTTAACCTGCGTGAACGGCTCTCTTCGATAATCCGAACACCTACTGGCTGGCCGTACCTGGGGGGTTTAAAAGTACGCAGGTGAGAAAGAAAACACATTTTTAAGTTATAGTATAAGTCTCAATTTTTATCGGATATTGATAATTGGTCACTCAGAAACATGCAAATAAATTGCTAGTTTGATTGTTCGGGGGAATTAGTCGCCAAGCTTAATTATAAATAATTAAAAATAGTTATTTTCAAGTCATTACTATAAAAACTGGGTTTTCTTTAGTAACAAGTATAGTGCTAACACATGCCACCAAAAAAAAGTCAAATAAAAATATTGGTGGCAACATCTCTAAAAAAATTATTGACGATGCATAAAACCGGCGCGCGGCGCCGCGGCGGAGGGGTCTGACGATGGCCTCAATTGTTTTTAGCGTCCATGAATTTTTAAAAACGTGTATTATTAACTATCATTATCGTATCAATTTATGAAAAGATTGATAAACAATAAATAGTGTGTGAAAATGTTTCTTCAGAAAAGAAGACATATGGACCACCACCACTATCTTCACAAATAACGCAACGCTGCGCCAGCAAAGCCATTTTTTTATTTTCACACACTCTATTTATTGTTTATCAATCTTTTTATAAATTAAGTAGCAATTTATTTGCGTGTTCCTGTGAGTGACCAATTATCAATATCGATAAAAATTGAGACTTATCCCACTCGGCATGTTATGTTGCTGAAATATTGAAATATTCGGAAATAGTACAAAAATATTTCGTTAACATTTCATTTGTAACTATGCATCTGAAATATTTCAGAAATGTACCTGCATCATGTTTTTTATAATATTGCATTAACAATATTTCTGAAA